CTAAGATCAGTCTCGAGATGGCCAAAAAAAAACAAACAGAACTAGAAATCATAAGCCCTCCTGCGGCACCGCTTGCATCACTGTGTGCGCGGCTCCCCCAGGTGAAGAAACAAAAGAAGCCCCGACACCAGCAATCCACACCGATCGGCCTGCGACAGGGCCCCAGATGGGCCTTTCCCAACACTCACATGCGTCTAGTCTAGGCGCAGCCATATGCCATACGAACCATTCACTATATGCATTATTGCAAAAGTAGGGTGGCTGATGATGCTGGGAGCGGCTGGGCTGCCCATCGAGGCCACACACAGAGACTTGTCTGCAGCTGCGCTTCGCTATGTTGCCGAGGACCGCATCAACACGGACACGCTGCGCAGAACAAGCCTCAGCTTCAGACATCAACGACCTGCAACATGATCGTCAGCCTCTGCAGATATTCCAGAGAGACATGGCGTGAGCTGCTTGGACGGCAGGATAGAACCCAAGACGCACCCAAACACAGCCAACAGGTACATTCAGAACATCCAGTGCTGGTGAGGCCACGGAGGCCAGCAGCAACGCCTCCTGCCAACGGCCGGCCTGCAAGCTTGGCGGTACAGGAATACTGGAACAGAGTCACGATGGAGCAGCCCACCCCTGTGACAGAATTCCCTAGCCGCAGCCGGCACGTCAAAGTACGGCAAGGGCCTATGCCACTACCTGAAAAGCACCGTGCCCACAAAATACTAGTATCCCGGACCCCCCTCGACCGGAACAGTTCACAAGACTGAAGGAAGCACAAATATATCATGATTATGCGGCACCGGAAGGAACCCTTGCTGCACAAGTGTCATTGAGCTCTATCTACAAACCCAAAATTACCCAAACATGTACCCCGAAACGCGAGACGACCCATAGTGACCCTTCTTCAGAACGGCCCTATACCCCCAACCTTGAACCCCAAACCTTAAGTCCCTAAAACCCGATAAACCCACAGTTCACACTGAGTGTCCTTGGCTGCGCTGCTGGCCGCGTGGGCGGCTTCCACCGCAGTCAAAACTCCGCAGCCACCTCCGGGGGGCTTCACCTTCCCCTACTCTCCCTTAAGATACACAGGTGATAAGAACAAACTGCTAGCATCCCTTATACATTCCTATTCTTATGAATATTATTAGGATATACAAATGTTCTGTGAACACTTGTACTTAGTACTTAAGTATTTTGGGAGGCGAGAGGGTGCTACTTGCTATGACAGGGGGTTCGAAGGAACCGAACGCCCCCATGAACGCCAAACCATCACTCCCCTCAGGCCCTACTATAGGGGCCGTAATAATATCAATAGGATCTTGGGCGCTATTGTAGTATAGCCATAAAAGGGACCATAAGGAAAACTACTAGCAATTCTTCCGATCCCTATATTAAGTTGAGAGAACAGCGGGAGCCTGGCATTCCCGCACCCCAAAGCCGCGCCAAGTCCTAAGCGCGGGGGCATCCCGGATTCCAGGATGGACCGAAAAAGGTTGGGATGTCTCCCCCCTGTAGACGAACAGACCTTGGTAGGGATTCTAGTACCGCCGTATTTTAACCCCTGTGAAGGACTGTTGGTTTAAGTGGGGGACATCCCCACGTACAGGTTGTTTTCGAGTCTCGAATTTTGCGGGGCGCAAGTTCAGGCAGTTTCGCTCCCTCCACGCTTTTTGCCTGGAGAACTTGCCGGAGTCTACTGTCCAAGCCACCCTCCTCCCCCCCCCTCCCAAAAAACAAAACAAACACAAGTAAAAAGCGGAATGGTAGAGCGTTCTTGACTCCCTGACTGGGCTCCTTGTGGGTCTCTGGGTCTCTCTTCGGCGTCTGTCCCGAAAGTCAAAGCCCTGAAGACTGCAACTCTTGAAGCTGTAAACACTGTAAGGCTTCAGCGCCTTGAGGCTTTGGGTTGGGGATCTTGGATAATGCGACTTTTTGGTGCTCGGTTTCGGGGCCTCGATGGAGTCAGAGTTTCGAGCTTTGGGCTGCTCCCTTGAAGCTTCTGCTCTGAGCACTTTGGGCTGCAGCCTTGAAGGCTGGAGGCTTTAGGGTTTAGGGTTTAGGGTGCAGGGTTTAGGGTGGTTTAGGGTTTGGGGGTTCTTTTCTTCAGGGCTCCACTTCACTTACTCTTTGTTTCGCACGAATACGAACCACAAGGCTTGTAAGTTTTATCGCAGCGGGAGGCGCTGAGACTGATGGGCCACAAACTACGTTTGGGATTGGTGCCCCTTCTGGTTTGGAAGCTGGATCATTTGGGTCAGTTTTGGACGGTGGGGACGCAATCCGACATTCACTGTCGTGGATGGCGCCGATGGCTAAGGGGGTCGAGCCTAGTGTAAGTCTCAGAGTACGTACGATGATAATTCAGCCCTTCCATCCCTGATACCGACGGCTGCGCTGAAGGAATTTAGATCACATATTCATTGTGTGATCGAAAAGCAGAAGAAGATATTAATATTAGAACATAATACAAGAATGAATAAATAAGTAAATACATATATACAAAAATGTACTCATGTACTCATCGGATAAGCTTTGGATGCCTTGGGTTTCCGCGGCTTGCCCAAAGTCCGGGGGCGTGGCCACCGACTCCACCGGGCCCGGCAGAATTCAGGGCCTAAGATGTTTGGGGTTTAGGGTTTTTTTCTAGGGTTTAGGAGATGGCCATTCGTCGGTTTTTTTGGCACCCGAGTAGCCACGCCACAGCGGGGTTTAGGGCTTCAGGGTTGAGGGTACCCTTTGGGGTTCCTAGAACTAAAAGCATTCAAGTATGTTGGGGTGTCTTTTAGGGAGTACCCCTAAATTTGAAGGTGTACTTCAACAATCTTCGACACACCAAATGTCACTGGCCAGAATCACGATGCTCGAAAGGCTAACTTTCTGGTCCTGTCTGCGGTTTCTTAAGACTCAAGCCATGGCAAGGATGCTTGTGACAAAGCTCCAGTTTGGGGCCAGTGTTGAAATTTCCCTTGTGCCCTTCGAGCTGCAACTGCCCACAGCTTGACGCCGTGCAAACTGGCGAAAAGAACGTGTATGGCAGTATGCACATTATCAACGTTTGTGTCCTGAATGGGTACGTCGGGCATGTATATGTGCATGTGTATTCATGTATGCAGGGATACACTTTGCATCTGCTTCTGTTAACTATTGAAACTGATCGAGCCAGGATAGGGGGGTGCACGTCATGTGGCCTTCTTTGTCGTCGCAAAAGCAGACCACCAGCTGTGTGCCTGCCCCTCCTCTGAATTCCAAACTGCCGGGATGGCTCAAGATCCGAACGTTCAGGGTCCCTCAGTTTTGTTCGGCTCAGGTGGTTTTTCTCCGTTGTGATCGGAAGCCCTGCTCGACCTTTCGTAGGAATACTGGTGGCCCAAAGCTGGGTACGCCTTTTCCGAAAATGGGGGCCAGGCACAAGTCACATCGGCAGTTTCTCACAGCTTTGATCCCCTGAAAAGATGACCCGACTACCATGGACCATCGTTGACTCACAGTGATCTGCACCCTTGCGGGCAAGCTTCGGCGAAGCGGCCCATCATGACCAGAGAGAAGACAGCGCGCGGGCCGTCCTGGAGTTTATAGGAGACGGCTGCGAAAGACCATGGGCTGTCGCACCCGCAGGGATTCCAAGTACGACTCTCGACACTCAGCAAAATTTGCGGATTCCCCCCTTGCCACTACACCACTGTGCCAGATCTCAAAACGCCAAGCAACTCATCCACAACAAACGCCACCCGGGACCCAGCATAGACAGGCAAGAGCGGAAATGCTGCAAGGGGGGCTCGTGATTGGCGGTTGCACGACGTCTAAGACGCTGCACTAGCCCATCGGGGCTCGTGCTCAGGGGATGCCAAGTTTTGTCAACCAACATGATGTTCAGGGTTTAGGTTTTCTTGTTAGGGTTTACGAATGGTCTCCCACTCATGTTGGATTCGAGGTCGCATCATCGTGACATCAAGCCAACTTCCGTTCCCGAGCCAGCGTGTTGGGTCATGAAAAATGTGCATCGCGTGATGCATCCCCTCCACATAAGTGTCATTCTAGCCTGGACCTTCAGTTCAGGTTTCGGACTTGACTTCTGGAACAGCAACCCTTCATGTAATGGCGTACCTAGGCCATCAAGAATCACGTAATATCCATGGGAACGATTCCTTCAGCCCAAGAAGCAGAAACCCAAACCACCAGCAAAGGGCCGAATCAAAGATGCTAGGGTTTCGATGCTCACGCTCGAGGCAGGCAGGCGCAAGAGTTGATGGTTCAGGGCGATTATGTCTATACACTATGAACCCCATAAACTTAACCGCAAGATTCTCCTGCCCAGGTCTGGATCGTCAGGTCATGGCAAGAACGAGACTCCGGTCTAGAAGCCTCATACCGCGCTGCGAGGATGTTTCATGCCTTTGGTGTTCTTGAGGAATGAGTGCAACTATGTTCTCCATCCACAGAAGTCCTCTGGCTTGAGCCCCAACAAGGCTCCTTCAGGCAAGGCTGGTTGATCCGTATTTTTCGGCGCGGCAAACAACCATCATGAAGACGAAGGGCCCAGATTCAAGAGCAACTGCCACGACAACATCTCTCCACTTAAGCACACTTCAAGCCCAAACATAGCCACAGCCTGCTTATTTTATGCTGCTACTTCTATGCTGCTACTGCTTTGCTGCTACTGCTATGCTGCTACTGCTACTGCTACTGCTACTGCTACTGCTACTGCTACTGCTACTGCTACTGCTACTGCTACTGCTACTGCTACTGCTACTGCTACTGCTACTGCTACGACGACGACGATGACGACGAGTACGAGTCCTAGCACGTGGCAGGGACATGCGCGGTTGTGAAACATCGCAACAGAGCTGGGCGAGTATCCACTTTTCAGCCACGTCCTGCGAAGAGTCCTGTGGCTTAGGTGCCCTTCCGAGCTGGGGTGGCGGCGCGGGTGGCCCAAGGGTCCCCATTGTAAATGAATTAAGGCAAGATCCAAGCCCAGCGTGCCCCGAGATGACCAATCACCCGTGGAGCTCCTCGCGCTGCATAGAGGTTGCCAATATACGAGCTCTCTAGAGCGTGTATACATACCCTCTGTGTATGTATACACACAAACATGAACGACTTTTTCGTAAAGGCCGATATTGCAGACTGAAGATGTAAAGAATGTCAATTTCCTATTCGGCTGCGTCAAGCTACGGTATACTAGACTGCACTATAGTATAGTGTCGTACATGATGCTAGTATAGCATAGTGTAGTATAGTATAGTATAGAACTGTATACTAATGGCTTGCGTGTGGCGCTCCCGTCCTCGAGATAAGGATGCACAGCGTCGGCGTCATCCTCAACTTCCACCAGGCATGTTGTACCACATTCTGCTACCTAGACTAGACTATACGACTATACTTGACTAGACTATACTACACTGTGCTTTTGTGCAGTAGTATAATGTAGCATAGTGGAGTTTTGTAAAACAAAATATAGTAATAACATATAGTATAATATATTCGCCTCGGCTTCCTGCCGAGAAGCGTCTGGAACAAGCAGACCCGGATCGGTCCTTCCCCCTAACCCATTTTTTGATGCAACCCCCCCCGCCCTGTGGGACCCCCCCCAATCCCTTGGAGGAGCTGCAAACCGATGCCGTGGAGGGTCCCGCTTGTCGGTGGCTCCTACAGGGGGAGTGCCTCAAAAACCCCCCCCCCCCCCCCCCCCCCCCCCCCCCCCCCCCCCCCCCCCCCCCCCCCCCCCCCCCCCCCCCCCCCCCCCCCCCCCCCCCACCCGCTCTGCCCTTCCTCCCTTTTTTTGCGAAACCCTCTTTCCTCCTTTCCTGTCCTGGGGCCGGCCCGGCTGCCGAGGCGGCGCACGCAAGCGTTTACAATTATTATATAGTATAGTATAAGAATGTAGCGTAGCATAGTATAATTGAATATAATATAGGCTTAATATAGTATAGTAAAGTAACAGTAACAATAAATGGCAATAGCAATAACAACAATAATAACAAAAAATGCTAGTAGTAATAGTTATAGTAGTAGTAGTAGTAGTAGTAGTAGTAGTAGTAGTAGTAGTAGTAGTAGTAGTAGTAGTAGTAGTAGCAGTAGTAGTAGTAGTAGTAGTAGTAGTAGTAGTAGTAGTAGTAGTAGGAGTAGTAGTAGTAGTAGTAGCAGTAGTAGTAGTAGTGGTAGTAGTAGTAGTAGTAGTAGTAATTAGTAGTAGTAGTAGTAGTAGTACTACTACTACTACTAATCATAAACTATACTATACTTTACTATAGTTATTTTGCTATACCATACGACACAAAACTAGACTATATAGTAGAGTGTAGTAGCAGAAAACAGTGTAGTATGCCCCTCTGCCGTCCCTGCCCCATCCCAGAGTGTCCTTGCACACCCATCCCTTCAGCGCCGAGAGGTCGTCCTTGATGGAGCCGCCGAGCAGCACCGAGAAGCGGCGCAGCACCTCTTTGCAGCACTTGTTGCTGCTTCCTCATCCCTCACAATGCTCTGTGGCGGAGTGCCTTGGGCACTTCGTACGCCGTCCCAGCGAAGATCTTGAAGTCCATCTTCTTGTCAAGATCCCTTTGGGCTTTCCTGAACTGCCCGCAAAAGCAGGCTAGGATACTATAATACCACAATTCTGGCACAAACCTGGCAAGCATCTCGCGGGCCACCGCGTTGCCGCGGGCCAGCTTCCAACCAGTCATGCTCGACATGGCGCAGGCACAGTTGAGCTTCTGCCAAGCTTGGAAACAGCTGCGCCGTACGCACATGCAGGGCCGCTGCCAGTAGCGCAAAAGCAGGGGTATACTACACGATACTATGCGATACTACACTTTACTATATTACACTATACTGTACTCTGCTATACTATGCTTACTAACTGTAATATGGTTCCCTGTCACACAGGGTGGTCTTCCCGAGCTTCCGAGCGTGTTGAAGCTGCATACTCAAAAGCACAGAGGCCAAGACAACTTAATTAGGCCTATATAATATAGAGGTCCGGGCTTTGTTGGCGATTTGGTTTTGATTTGGGGGTTTGTTTTTGTTTTCTGTCCTGCTTTGCCAGAGTCCTCTCATGTCGAAGATGTCGAAGATGGGGGGTGCGGGGCTTGGGGGGGGGGGGGCGGGTGTCACACTTTTTTCAGATTGTTTTCACACTTCTGCGGCGCGTGGGCAGGGGCACGCGCCAGCGCGCCCGGCGCGCGGGGGCCCCGTGCAGCCTGCGCGGCACCTGCCTCTCCGCACGCTCCCCGCGCCCCTCTGCGCCTTGAAAAAAAATGTGAAAAACACCCCCCCCCCCCCCCCCCCCCCCCCCCCCCCCCCCCCCCCCCCCTCGGCCCCACCCACACAACACGAACCCCACCCACAATCTCCTCCCCACCAACCCCACCACCCACGCACAGCCCCCCAGACTCCACCCTCCACTGCATAAATTTGTACAAATAAAATGCATGTGCGTGTAAGTGCAAGGGCAAATTTCAACTGTTGCACTGGAGAAAACCCGTCTGTTCATCTCAGAAACTTGTAGGCAAGCCGACAGGAACCGCAATTTGGATGGCCTTGGACGGGATTTGGATTGCCGTCCTGCTCTCCTTTCGGCCCAGAGCCCGTGGGAGCAAGCAAAGTGCGATCTGTTGCTTGAGGCGGTGCACACAACACATGGAATCACAAAAAAATCACAAAACAATCGCAAAAAATGACAAAACAATCACCAAAAGATCACCAACAAATCATAAAACAAAAAGTCTCCAAACAATCACAAAGAATCACAAAACAATCACACCGAAATGCAAACATCTCAGAGCCAGGACCTGCCAAATCCAGTTTCAAACGAAAGTCACACTTGCCGATCACAAGCAAATCACAAATAAATCACAAATAAATCAAAAAAACCCCAACCCCTCTCTCAGACAATACAGCAATCCTGGTCACAAGTTTTGCTCACTTCAGAACGAGGGTGCCCTTTTCCGGCGTGCGTTGGCCCAGACGGCCCAGATCACTGCAATCAAAAGGCAGCGGTCAGCAACAAACACCCAGGGGTGTCAGAAAGATCATCTAAGGAGGGGGCGGTGACCGCCGAAGTATACCTGAAAGTAGCTGTTGGGACGTGAGCTGACATGCAACCCCGGCACACGACACTATCTCTCCGCATACTACTCAGAACCAGTCTGAGAATCCACGCAACAATTTTTTTGGGATCATGAACATTCTCTTGATGCTCGCCCGTTTCTAGTTCGCCCTGGAATCGCATCCGCATCAAGCTTGCAGGTGACGGCTCGAAGCCAAGAAGCCTTGAAAGCGACGTCAAGAAGAGGAGAAACGAAGAGCAGGCCGAGGCCAGGCCAGGATACTCGGTTAGTCCCGCTTTTAGCGGGGGCAACCCTCCAGGCTCCCTGGCACCGGGCTTGGGCAATCTGCTTCGTGGAAGATGCCCACAAGAGCCGTGATGCCGGTAATGTCTACCGTCTCCATGTACCCCGCAGGGCCCTCTTCGCTTCCCCACTTGTACTCAGGGTCGTTCACCCAGTCCGGATCCTTCACTTCCTGTCCCAAAACGGTCTCGAGGATGTCCTCTCCCGATGACACTCTGATTCTGTGACATCGCATGCTGCTGTGATGTCAGGCTTACCCCAAGGCGCAAGGCAGAACAACGAACCGACCGACGCACATGACATGACAAGGACGTCCTCGCAAACGTTGCCCAATCCCAGCGCATCCAGGAGGGCGTCCGTCACCAGCTCCTTGGCGGCATCCTGAGGTCTCAGTGACTCCGATGTGCGGCACAATGCAAGGGGAAGTCGAAAGGGGATCACTGGGGCAAACGTTTTCCGGGGGCGGTGTGAACTTTTAGCCAGGGCCTTAATCCCGGATTTGATCGTGTTGATGGCCATCTTCTTCATGGTCTTCTTGCCCTGGGTCTTCAAGGAGGCAATGGCGGCCCGCTTCGCGGCTGCCTGAGAACCCCCCCCAACACCATCTTTCAGTATCACGAAAAGTAGGTGGAGGCATAGAACAAGCGCTGACTCAGAAGCCTGATGCTTGGAAAGACGACCCGGTGTGGATGATGTCAGTGCAGTAGTTGGTGGAAGATGCAATACTGTACCTCTGCTACACGCTTTTCTTCAGTTGAAAAATGTTCCGCATGCTACCATCTTCTACCTTGTTTCTACTGCTCCAGTGCATCCACTCCCAGATTCATTCGATTGCGCTGCGCTGCACTGTGCCACTTTCCTCTAGGGCCATGCAGTGCAGTACCTTCTGTGGTACAAACATGTTGCCAGGCAGGTACCAAGTGGCATTACAGTACGCTATATGACGGATTGACTTACATTAAACAACCAGCTCTGGTATGTCATATCTTGCATTCGTGGCACTGCTAGATTCGTGTGTCATCCTAGCGCAGGGGCCATGCTAGTCTTGTTTGTATCGTTCCATATCATACATTGCGATTCACTACCTCCACCACACTACGCCGGATGAACTGCATCATATTTCATGTTGAATCCTCCGAGACGTGCTGGGCTGCGCATGAGCGAAATCGGAAACCCTCTAAACCTTTTGAAGTGTGTACCCCTTCATCCACCCACCTCCACCTGAAGAAGGCACGCACACCGGCATCTTAAAACACACTCGACTCGAACCCTTGCCTCCCAAACCACAAGCTTCTAACCACATCAGAACCCAGCTCCAAGAAGCCAAGGGCCTTCCCGGCGGTGACTGCTGCCTTTTGGATGACCCTCTTGCCGGCACCCTGCATCCCTTTCTTCGCGGCGGCCTTGTTCCGTCTTGCCAATAGGGATGAGAAACACAGAACAATGATTCGCGGCGGCCTTGTTCCGTCTTGCCAATTGGGATGAGAAACACAGAAAAATAATTGCTCAGGGCTTGTAAGGTGTTTTGTGTCCTGCATGGAAGGAACGAAACCCACATAGCAGAGTGGTACACAACACATTCTTATTCACGAATTGCAATGCGAGACCCATCGACTGCACCGTTCAGATGTCTGTTCAGCATTGACACTCGTGCAACAGCGCACAGGAGTTTCCATCGTTTCTGCAAAAACAGTACAGTTGCGAACAAGGCCTGAATCCTAGAGGGTTCTCTTTTGGTGGGTTCGATTATTCTCACTGGGATGTTCGGGCTACCGGGATTAACCTGTCTTGATGATCCGCGAGATCCACTTGTGATTCAAGGTTCCCAGGACTGTGACAAGTGAGCTTCTCTTTGCTGAAATTCATTTGTTGGCCATTGCCATTACTACAGCTAATTGTTATTAGTCATCGTCATTGCTCTGCAACCATGGCTAGCTGTGGTTATTTTGGTTGTTCTCTCAACTCTCTCTGCCGTGCCAAGCAAATCTTTCACTGTCAGGGTGGGGAATCGGGACGCCCGAGCATGGCGTTTTGATTGCTATGGTTCTGATGTTTATGATGACAAGGGTAATAAGAATGGTGATTGGGAATCTTCAAGATTGGGCCACGACGACAGATGTGACTATGATGATGATGACGATGATGATGCAATGTGGTAGCACTAATGGGATCTTGCGCGTGGACGCAAGATGGAGTGGCTCGTTCATCGCCAGGCGCGCGCAGATGCGCATGCCGTGGCTCCAAATTGCGGAGCCGTGCGCATTTTCGATTCTTCGAAGAGGTGCGCAACTCTGACCTCTGCCTGTCGCCAGAGGCCCGAGCACAACAGCATGTCAACTGATCATCTCGCGATGGCTCCACTGGCCGCTCACGCGCAGAGACACCTCCTTTTCACTGGACATCAGCTGGAGCTGGTGTCACTTTGTGCGTCCGGTCTGCTTTCCTTGTCTTCTTCGCTCTTATCATTTTCGATGATTAGGCAATGCTGGATTTATGGATCGCATTCCCGAACAAACCTGTGCGTTCTGGCATTTTTGCAATGGAAATCGTGCTGTCTCGTCCTTCCCATGCGCCCTGAAACCTTCAAATTGCTCGGAATGCCTAAACTTCAAGTGTCACGCTGCGCTCCTTGGTGTGGTCTGGCAGTCTCTCAGCTATACGAGGTTTGGCATTCGATCCTGTGCCCCCACCATACTTTCGTGCGTACTGTGGAGTGTACATCATCGTGTTGCTGCGAGTCCTACACATCCGCCCCACGAAATCGTATTCCTGGCACCTGCCACAGCAACGGCGCTTTGCCGCTCGGGCCCCACCCAAAATTCAAACTCCCACCACAGCGCGGTGCGTGTTTTGATGCCAATCTTGGTCCTGCCATGCTCCCGAGATGTTTTTGGGACCCTACGAATGAGTCTCAATGATTTGGAAGGGGGGGCTGGGACCACCGGCTGGGATTTACCCGTGTACCTCGTAGACTGATTATCGTCATGATGACGATGATGATGATGATGATGATGAACATAATTATGATTCGTACGATGACACTGCCTCTTGTAAGGCGTGTGACAGTCACTTGTGCCGGGGCTGTCTCAAATCATCCAGCCATATTCGACCACATCATCTTCTGCAGATGCTGGAAGGACCAAAGCAAGCGAAATCATGCGGTGAGAAAACAGAAAGACGCATCATCTGCTGCAGATGCTGGAAGGACCAAAGCAATTAAATCATGCAGTGATGATTCATGCGGATGCTGGAAGGACCAAAGCAAACGCAATCATGAAGTGATAAGTCGGAAAAACACCCCATCTGCTGCAGATGCTCGAAGGACCAAAGCAAGCGAGATC